TGACATCATCAATTTTCCATCGTTTAACCTCCTTACTATCAAGTTTATTGGGTTTGGGTGAAGAGTTATCAATATGACCCTAGAGACCCTGACCCTCGACATAAAACTGGAAGTGGAACTTCCATAGGGTCACATCACACGTGGGGTGGGTGGAAGCTAATAAGGAGAAGAGAAAAAGGTATGAGTTGGCTGCTGATCTGGTCCAAGGTCATAAAAAACTTAACGTGGACAGGATTGGAATCGAAATCAAAATTGGAATCCCCAGGATTCTGAATTGGAATCACCTATTTCTAACGCCTGTTTTGTTCAGTTGGGAATCAGAATTGGATTCCAATTGTTGTTGTTTTGGTTCATCTTATTATTACCTTATTAATATTTTATGAATATATAATTATTATTTTATTAGTATCTAATAATTAATATCTTAGTACTTATCATTAATTTATGAATATTTTATTAATATATTATTATTATTTATTTTATTACTTTAATTATATACTATTATTAATCTTTTATTTGTACTTAATTATTATGATTATTATTTAACAAATAGTATTTTTGTCTTTTATTATTAATTTTATTAATATTTTTTATAGTACTATTATTTGATTACTATTTTACTAATACTTTGTTAATAGTTTATTAATATTTTAGTATATTATTATTAATATAGTATTTTTTTGTTATTATTGTCTTATTGTTAGTTTAATAATATTTTATTATTTTATTAGTACTAGGGTTTGGGGGATCGGAATGTGCCATTCTGATTCCAATTCTAGGCACCTATTCTAGGGAACCAAATCGACCCTTGGTTGTTTTGGTCCAACTTGACCTTTAAATGGTGGGGGGGTGTGGGCTGGATCTTATTTTGAATTGTGATTCTTGTTTTAACACTTTCTTGGCTGGAGGAGTGGGGATGGTCAATGATTTTTTGAGTCTTGAGAAGAAAATAGAGCAGGAGGATTATACAGTGGAAATTGTGGATATAGTGAGAAGAAGATAGAGTGGGAGGATTGGGTGATTATGAGATGCAATAGAAAGCTTGTGAGTTGTTGATCAAAAGAAATCCAAATGGAGGTGAGTCTAAAGATAAGGCCCCACACAAGTATATGGTGGCGAAAGATCAAAGTTTGGCCAACTGTTCTTGAAACGATGTTGGCAGAGAAGTCAAAGGGGTTGTTCTTGCAGCAAAGGCAGGGATTCCTTCTATCCCAGAAGTTTTGATTGAAATTGGAAGTGTTGTTCACGATTTCACGGTTCCAAGCCTCCTTTGGGGAAGTTAGGGGTTGTTACCTCAGTTGGAGGTGCTTGTGGGTTGAGCAGCTCATTGGTTGAGACTCGAGGGCCTTCCTAGAAGGTGGGAAATACTAGTGAGTGTCATGAGGTTTGTTCTTCAATGAGGAGTTTTGAACACTTTACCAAACTGTTTGAGTAAATACACCCATTTCATAGCTCTGGCCCACCAATATACAGCCCATACAGTGGCCCAAGTATTCTTTTGATCATATATTCAAACTGCATGGTATGCCAAACTCCATTGTCTGCAATCGGGGTCCCACCTAGCATGTTCTGCAGGGACCTCTTCAAGTTACATGGAACTAACTTCAACTTTAGTTCTGTCAACCATAAACATAAAATGGACAAACAGAGGCCAAGATGTTAGAAATGTACCTTTGTTGTTTTGTGGGCTAATTCTACTACACCACCAGCTGACACACCTCTATCTAAAAGACACCATTTGGGGCGGTGTACAGATGAGAGCCACCCACTTTAATTCCTTATATTCTTGGAACTGCCAAGACAGAAGCAGTGGGAACAATCACTCCTTGCTTGTGACCAGATTATACAAGAGTTGAGGCACCAGTTAATGGAAGCCCAGCATAGAATGAAAAAAAAAATTATGATGCTAACCACGTGGAATTGGAATTCCAAGTTGGTAAGATGGTCTATTTAAAGGTTCAGCACTATAGACAGACCTCAGTTGCAGCATGGAGGAACCAAAAGTTTGGAGCCAAGTATTTTGGGCCTTTCAGGGTGTTGCAATGGAAGGCCAAGTTGCGTATAAACTGGAGTTGCCTGACACTGCAGAGGCCCACCCTGTATTCTATGTTTCTCTTCTTAAGCTATTTCTGGGCCCAAACACTCCTGTTTAGCCAACAAACACTACCCACCTATCTGGAGATTCAAGAGGAACCCCAGTTACTACCACAAGCAGCACTGGAACAGCAAACCAAGAATAGCAGGAAGGAGATGTTGGTTCATTGGAGAGGCCAATCACCAGTTGAAGCAACTTGCGAAGAGTTGGAGTTTACGCAAAATCAATTTCCTGAGTTCTCTCAGAAGAACATGACCAATCTTAAGGGGGAGGGAGCTCTTGGCACTCCACGTTGAGCCAAGCCCAGTAAGAGACATGCCCACTTATTGAATAAAGATATATTTTTTTTGAAAAGTAAAAATAAATTCCATTTAAAAAAAGAGAATACAAGAGGGAGGTGATAAGGTATCACCTGAGAGAAAGGAGAAAAAAAACCGAGGCACAGCCTAATACATGACCAACACAAACTACAGCAGTCTAAGAAAAGAACAAAAGCATCTCTAGGACTAGATCCTCAGCCAGCTCACAATGTCCTCCAGAATCGAAAGCAAAAAAGAACCCTAGTCTTCCCCTTCAAACACTTCCTCCCGCCCATCTGTATCTTCATCCCACTTCTCCCTACCACCAGTTGCACCTTTCTTCAAAGTCTTCAAAGGTTTTCCTGGAACACTTCTCACCACCTGAGAAGAACAAGCCAAGGCTTTTACCGAGCTCTACATTTCTTTCGGCAGCTTTCTCAAAGGAGTACTTCCAGATTTCTCCACCTTTTGTATAGAACTCTTATCAGGAACTCTTTTCAATCAGAGCAGATTCGCTCTCCCTAATTTCTTCATGAAGGGAAGTCTCCTCCTGAATACCCGTGTTTGAGACAACCCAAGAATCCTCCTTAACAGATGCTTTGGTTGTAAATGTAATAATCTTACTTCCTCTTCTCTTATACACCCTCTTGAAGTTTTTCATGGGGCCAGCCCCCACCAACCCAAGTTTCAGATAAGAGAAAACTTTGGTGGCATGAACTGTATGAGAGTATCGCACTCCATTAACTCCACGAGATTTTTTTAAGGTAACCGCTTCATCTGCTCCCAGATCTTTCTCAGCCTCCTCCCTCTTACCCAAATCCACCCTTAATAAGATAGTGATTGGGGAAGGACCCTTTCTCTCTGTAGGGAACTCCATGGTAATCTCAGTCAGGCATCCTTGATCAAGTGTCCTGTTATGAGAGCCTTTGCAGCTGCTCGTGACAGAATGTCAGAACTTAATACATGCTGTCTTGTAAAATCAAAATTTTGTGTTTATACCTGCCAAAAATTTAAAATCCCTTGTCTTCTCAACCACCTTTCTAAACTGCTCTGCATCTAGTGGGTCCTTCCATTCAAAAACTTCAAGATCCACTTCTTCCCAAATCACCTGTAAGCAAGAAATTAATAGCATCAAACTTCTCTCCCTGTATCAAATTACTAGTCTCAACAATTCTTATCCTTAGAATAGGTAGCATTATTCCCATCCCATATTTCTTTAGTTATGGACACAATTTCTGACAATATGAGGCTGCATAGAATAGACAACCTGTGATGTAATAATTAAATTTTCTTGTTTACAACAACCGTAAGCAGGGTCATCCATTTGTGGCTTCATTTCTCTTCCCATGAAAAATCCTAATTTGCCCCTACCACCAATATATAACATAGCAGGCTATGACCATTCGAGAAAATTAGCCTGTCCAATTTAGCTGTTGTTATTTGACTTTTTTAAGTTCTCACCAGCTCCTCCATGACCACTAGGATAGCCTTTTACTTCCATGGAAAGCCCTATCATCCACGGTTCACAACAAACACTTCTTCCCAACTCCTAAATGGATGTTCCTCCAAACACTGCCCATACGGTAACCTTATATTACCTTGGTTCCAACACAAACAGTCAAACAAGCAAGGGAAAACCTTGGCTGGCAGCTGGCAGCTGGTGGCAAAACAGAATCAGAAAAAAAATCCAGAATATTTAAGTGGACAGAGAAAAATGTGGAACCACTTCCAGCATTTCAACAAATATTCCAGAGGTTAAACACAGTAGGTTGCATGGGCAAACATGACCTCCATCAATTAGACCAATCAGAAAACCAGAAAATGTAATATTCAGTATTCTTATCCAAAAGATAGTTAAAAATACTGAAACATTACCTTATCAGCCAGCTTCTTGTATCAAAATTAATCTAAAATCAGGGTAACTAACCTGTGTGGTTACAGTCATGAGCCCTTATTGTCCATATGACCTGTTGACATCATCTGTACAGCCTGCTGATGTAAGCAGTCTCCCCCTGTCAGACCAGATCAGAAACTCCTTGGATCTTCTCTGATGCTTGGATACCTAGTAGAAACTTCCAATCAACAGAAAAATATATTGGAATGAAGAAGCAAGTGAAAAGAAGAGGAGAAGAGGAGAAGAAAAAGAAAATTGGAGAATAGGGTTGTTTTTCTTGAWTCACATTCCACCCAGTTCACTCCTTTATAATTTTGGTTAGAATTACAAGAATGCCCCTCAAAAGGCACCCAAGCTACATGTCCGAGAAGAAAGAAAAACTCTTAATACTAAGTTTTGTCATTTTCCATCTATCTGCAGTTATATAGGCTGAATGACTGGGTCAAAAGTGGATCCCGTTTTCCTATACTAGTTTCTGTGTAATTTTTCTTGGTATTTATATACCCTACAGAAACCCATCAAATTTGTTAGAGCTTCAGTAAGCTAACTTGTTATGGGAAGCTGATGTTCTTTTTCATTGCTTTCTCTAATTCTTGGAAAATGTAGGAATTATAGATATTTGTTGCATACTGTTGGACAAGGGTGTTATTTATTTCTCAAGCATGGATGATATTCCTGTTTTAGGATATTTATTAATAAGTTGTAAATTCAGGTACCAGAGGTTGATACCGCTGTAAGGTCTTTAACAGTAATGTGGGATGGGAGTTTGGTTGTTGCTGCAAATAACCATGGAACATGCTATGTGTGGCGCTTGTTGCGTGGGAATCAGGTATTTCCAAGTCAATTCTTGATACTATCTTGATGCAACTCCAGTCTTGACCATCTCAATTGAAGCCCAATCACTGTTATGTGTCAGACCATGACCAACTTCGAGCCACTTCATAAACTACAAGCACACAATGGATACATTCTTAAGTGTCTGCTATCACCAGAGTTCTGTGAACCACACAGGTTTGATATGAATTCTTCTCTCATTTCTTGCTTTTAGATCAAAGATATTTATGTAAGGGAGCATCTTGGGTCTAGTGACTTAGGACCCACGTACAGTTCTGGGGTCTACATAACTGCCCACCTGTTTTTCAAGAATCAGGAACAGTCATTGAATGCGTTCTACCAAAACTATGGTTGTACCATGCATCAGTTTAATCAGAAACTTTTAGGCATCTGATTTAGGCATTATTTGTGTAACTACCTTTTTAACTTCACAAAAAAAAAATTTCACCATCCACTTCAAACATAATATTATCAAGTCTAGAAACTTTTGTACAAGATGATCCTATTCACTTTACTTTTATTCCCGCTCCTCTACTTTGTTGAAATGGAGTTTATATTAATTATTTTTTTTGGTTGCTTCCCATAGATATCTAGCTACTGCATCATCAGACCATACTGTCAAGATATGGAATGTTGATGGTTTCACTTTAGAGAAAACTTTAATAGGTAATTCTATGATCTTTTTCCTTCCAATTGCTCATTTTCTTGCTTGTGCCTTCAGTCAGTGAGAATATAATATTCCTTGTTGAGTTCTTCTTAGTAATTAATATCTTCTATTATGTCCTCAGGACATCAGCGCTGGGTATGGGACTGTGTCTTTTCTGTTGATGGTGCCTATTTAATCACAGGTAGCTTATGCAGTCTTATTGGATTGTTATATTAATATTCCCTGTATCTTGATATATTATGATTAATCCTTTGTTTCCTAATTTACATATTTTCCCTTGCACTATGCAGCTTTGTAGTTTGTTTTGTAAACTCTGATAAATGAGAAGAAATAAATAGGAAAAGAAGAGAAATAACATAAAGAAGAGAAGAGGATGAAAGAGAAGTATGGGGGAAAGTAGGGTTCAAACAGGATAGAGAGAATCATATCTATCTAACCTGTCAACCCAAGCTTGTGTTGTGATTTAAACTCATGTCATGTGAAATGACATATATGCCCATGTTTACATAAGAAGAAAAATAAAGATAGAATAAAGACCAAAAAGCCCATTACAAAATATACTTTTACGCTCTCCCTCAAGTTGGAGCATATATATCATAAAGCTCCTGCTTGTTACAAATATAATCCATCCTAATTTGACTCAAACTCTTGATGAATAGATCAGCTAATTGGTCTTCAGACTTCACATATGGTGTAATAATGTCACCACATGTTACTTTCTCCCTCACAAATCTATATGCTTGTTTCTCTCATGGAAGACTAGATTGGAAGCAATGTGAGTGGTGGCTTGGTTATCAAAAAATAGCTTAATAGGTTTGCTCACTGAGATGCCTTTCTCCTATAGGAGATGTTTCAACCAGGTTAATTCATAGATTGTATGTGCCATTGCTCTGTACCTTGCTCCAGCATTGCTCCATGTGATAGGGTTTCCACATAGGAAGGTACAATAACCTATGGTAGATCTCTTATCCATTGATGAACCTGCCCAATCAGCATTTGTGTACCTTTCCAGGGTAACTCTCCTCCTTTCTTATTACCACAACCTAGAACACCTTTTAGATACCTTAACACCTTCCCAATGCACAATTATGGATTTTTCATAAATTGGCTCAACACCCCAACAGTAAAGGAGATATTACTTGTTAGGTCAAGTTATCCAGATACCCTCGGCGCAAATGAAGAGCAACAGGCGGCCCTACAGACCCTTTTGACCACTTTTGAAGATGTGTTCTCTGAACCCACTGGTTTACCCCCATCTAGACCAAGATCACAGAATACCCCTCTTGCCTGGCTCACAGCCCACCAATGTCCACCCTTATAGATACCCTTATTATAAGAAGCTCGAAGTTGAACAGGCAGTTCAGGAATTGTTGGACAAGGGGTATATACAAACTAGCACCAGTCCTTTTTCATCCCCAGTATTATCGGGCCCTAAACAAAATTACTGTTAAGGACCGGTTTCCAATCCCCATCATCAATGAGTTATTGGATGAATTGGGTTCTGCTAAGGTGTTTTCCAAACTGGACCTATGTTCGGGGTATCATCAAATCAGAATGTACCCCGAGGACATCCCCAAAACAGCTTTTAGAACCCATGATGGGCATTTTGAGTTCTTGGTGATGCCCTTTGGACTGACCAATGCACCATCCACCTTCCAATCTATTATGAATACTATATTCAGACCTTATTTGAGGTGCTTCATATTGGTTTTCTTTGATGACATCCTCGTATACAGTCTGGATTGGAATTCTCGTATGGAACATTTGCAAATCACCTTGAGCACTCTCGGGAGCAATCAGTTATTTGCCAAACGGTCCAAATGTTCATTTGGCCAGACCCAAATTCACTATCTTGGACACATAGTCTCAGCAGGGAAGGTTATGGCAGACCCAGAAAAGGTAGCTTCTGTTAAAAACTGGCCCAGGCCCACTAATGTGAAGGCTTTACGGGGATTTCTAGGGCTTACCAGGTATTACAGGCATTTCATCAAGGGCTATGGGCTGATAGCCGCACCTTTGACCTAGCTCTTAAAAAATGACTCTTTCTCTTGGGCCGACGCTGCTCAACAGGCCTTCGAACAACTCAAGACTACCATCTCCACACCCCCAGTCCTAACCCTTCCAGATTTTTCACAGCCTTCTGTTCTCGAATGTGATGCCTCCAGTATTGGTGTTGGGGCTGTTCTTATGCAAAAAGGGCAGCCTATTGCCTATTACAGCAGAGCACTCTCCACTACTGGCCGTAATCAGTCTACCTATGTTAAGGAGGTAATGGCCATAGTATTAACTGTTCAAAAATGAAGGGCCTACCTGGTGGGCCGCCCCTTTGTAATCAGAACCGACCAAAGAAGCTTAAAAAAGCTGTTGGAGCAGAGAATCCACACTCCGGAGCAGCAGAAATGGATGACTAAACTGATGGGGTATGACTATAGCATTGAATACAAGCCCGGCCCCACTAATAAGGCAGCTGATGCTCTTTCTAGGGTGGAAGAACTGACCTAGATCACGTGCTCTCAGCCCACTTACCCCCTGTTTGAATCAATCCGTCAGGAGGCCCATTTAGACCCACAATTGCAAACCATCAAGGAGCAGATTCAGAATGGACAAGGAATGGGACCTGTGTTCTCCTTAGTGGGCCCAGACCTCTTCTACAAAGGCCACTTCATGATAGCACCTACTTCAGTGTACAAACAGGAGCTTTTAAAATTGTTCCACGATTCAGCTTTGTGGGGGCATTCCGGGATCCTACGGACTCTCAAGAGACTTGGGAGTCACTACTATTGGGCAGGCATGCGAAGAGATGTGCAATAGTATGTGGCTGAGTGCAGCGTGTGTCAACAACAGAAATATTTATCACAGTCCCCAGCGGGCCTGCTTCAACCCCTCAAAATTCTGAGCCAGGTGTGGGAGGATATTTCCATGACTTATGGGACTTCCCCGTTCGGCAGGTAAGACGGTTATCATGGTTGTGGTCGATCGCCTAACTAAATATGGGCACTTCTCTGCACTGCCTCACCCCTATACAGCAGCCATGGTGGCTGAGGTTTTGTCAAGGATGTAGCCAAGCTCCATGGAACCCCGCAATCCATGTGAATGGTTCGATAAACACTAGTTCAGTCCTAGGTCTGAAGTAAGAACGAGAGAAAGAAGAGAGGAGAGAAAGACAAATGACCCATCTTATATTTATAATCTTTGCATTAGAATACAAAAGACAACTATGTCCCTCATTATGGGACACACAACCTAAACCCAGACAAAATAGACAACTCATCTTTAATTAAAAAGTCCTAGGTCTGAAGTAAGAACGAGAGAAAGAAGAGAGGAGAGAAAGACAAATGATCCATCTTATATTTATAATCTTTGCATTAGAATACAAAAGACAACTATGTCCCTCATTATGGGACACACAACCTAAACCCAGACAAAATAGACAACTCATCTTTAATTAAAAAGTCAAATTACCAAACTACCCTTATACGAGTCTAACAACTACTAATGCAGACCTCTTCGATACAAGAGTACTTTCAATACGAGGACTGGAAGACCTTCTAATACAAAGAAACACTTCTGAAAGGGATGGCAGATCACTGCTACCCAAAATATGGGCATGAACTCATTCAAACTCTGTTCTTAACCCAGATAGGAACCTTGCCACATCTAAATGTTCCCTTTCTGACTGTTGTACCTTCAAATCAGTGGTGAGTGACTAATACACATTTAGTTCATTCCTCAGACATTTCAGGTCTGCATAGTTTTCCTCCACACTTATATCATCTTGCTGAAGAGAAAAATAGTCTGGATACAATTGATAAATTTTGGTAGCATTACCTCGACCTGAGTACAACTGTCTAGCATGCTCCCTAATCTCGTTGATAGTATCCAGAAACATAAGATTGACTCTAATATGATTCTCTATACTATTTCATAGAGAGGTCATAATCTAGGCATTTTCCTGTACCCATTTGTCATACCCATCTGATCTTGTTTATGACTTATCTTTTGATATGTGATATATACTTTAGTTTTCTTCTCCCAAATAGGGATACTTCAACTGACTTAGCCCATGTCACATAATTGGTGCCATTGAGCTTAACTGTGGTTAGCTGGACATTCATGAGATTGGTTTGTACAACTACAGCCAATTTGGAACCACTCCCAGAAGCAGCCACAAGACAATTTTTTGTTCACTAGGTTAAAAAACAATATGGATGAACTTGTTTCGCTAAACTACACCAACTGGAAGCTCCTATTTCAGTTTCCAACCAAGGAAGAAAGGTCAAAAACCTAGTTCACCACTTACCTGAACCACATGTCACCATAACTTTCACACAATTGAAGAACTACACTACATGCATCCACTAAGCACCATTAAACACCAACCATTCACTATAGCATCCCACTATAGAACAATTGACCCCTTTTTAGACTGTCAACTAGAGGGCATCTGGAAAACCACGAAGACAACACAAACTATTACGACTTAGGCATTAAAGCTTCTATTCCTCAAGGATGACCATTCCTTTACAGTCATTTTCCCTTCATTTAGTATGTGGAGAGAGTTCTCAGCTGGAACCAATGGAACAAAGTGTCTGGGATGAACCAGTCGACTAGCCATGCTCTGATATTATGTGGTTTGCCTTGTAAACTTTGATAAATGAGAAGAAATAAATAGGAAAAGAAGAGAAATAACAGAAAGAAGAGGAGAAGGAGAAGAAGAATGGAGGGAAAAGTAGGGTTCGAACAGGAGACAGAATTGTATATCTCTAACCTGTTGACCCAATCTTCTGTCATGATTGAACTCGTGTAAAATTACAGATGTGACCTTATTTACATAAGAAGAAATATAAAGACCAAAAAAACCCTTACTAAATAGACTTTAACAAGCTTCAATCTCTTGCATTGTTAGAGAAAGATACCAATATCAAATTAGAGTAATGTTCAAATGTATAAAACACATGCCGTAATAAAGATGAGATTTCACTTACATCCCATTAGAGTAGCCATTATAAGATTTGAAGATGAACTGAATAATTTGGGGAAATATGTAAACAAGGAATGAAAATAAAAACATCTAATGAGCTAGGGGTAATACAGAAATAAAAGGTATGGGTACAAATACCTTTCTATTAGTTGCAATCTTGGCTTGCCTTGCCAATTATTCCAAATTTGAGCAATTTCTTCTACCCCAAAGCCCCCTCTCCCCCAACCTCCCTGCCCCCCAAAACAAAAAACAAAGGAAAAAGGAAATACTCACAGCATTGATCCCATAAACTATTTGGGCTAGCTTCAAGATGGATATTAGTCCAATTCCTAACCCAACCATAAGAACAAACCATCTTTATTTTCTGAATGGGCCACTTGGGATTAGTAATTGGTTTTCTTGACATCCATGGTACTGTGATCACCAGCATCCATGTTCTTAGTTAATTTTACTTTGTTGCTTTTGCAGCTTCTTCTGATTCAACAGCTAAACTTTGGGCAATGGCAAATGGAGAAGCCATAAGGACATATCAAGGGCATCATAAAGCTACTGTTTGTTGTGCCCTTCATGATGGTGCAGAACCTTCCCAACCTTGAACTTGTAATAACTGCAACTTTTGTTTTAAATCATATATATATTTTGAAAGACGGGGGAATGTTGTTAACTATGTTTTTATAGAGCTTAAAGGTTGGAACCGCCCATATATGATATGAGTTTCATTGGCTTGGTTTTTCTTATCAAAGAATAACCTTATAGACTGGGCATCTGAGCAAATTAACATTAACAAGTTTTTTTTGTTTTTAATATCGCAACAGGTATAAAATCATTCCTAGACTTTGTGCCCAACCCATAAACCCAGGAATTTCATTCTCAAACAACGAAAACAAAACCCAGACCCATATATATCATTTTCCAGAAACAAAACAAGGATGCACAATATACAAATTCAGTTCCTCTATTTTCACCATAAAACTAAACTAAGAGTAGCAGCCTATAACCTTACGGACTTGGCATCTGAGCAAATTAACATTAGTAGTTTTTTTTTTTTTTTAATATAGCAACAGGTATAAAGTCGTTCCTAGACTTTGTACCCTACCCATAAACCCACGAAATTCATTCTCAAACAACTCAAACAAAATCCTGACCCATATATATCATGTTCCTAGACTTTGTACCCTACCCTACCCATAGCTCCTGTATTTTCACCATAAGACTAAGAGTAGAACCCTATGAAGATATTATAAGCAGAGTTGTGAACCTTTAATGCCAAGAGCATCAGGGTAGGAAAAAACCACATAGTACTCTCTCCAAAGTCCCAACAAATTTTAGGTTGTTTTTCTCCTATAAATCAGAACCTGTTCCAGAAGATGAACCAGCTTATTGAGAACTAAATTGATGCAGAACTGGTAAGAAGCATCCTATCCAAGTATTTGTTGTGTGCACTTAGATTATGTTGTCAAAAAAAGGGGATCCCCACTCTGCATGGCCTTGACGGCTCCACATTGATAGCTTCACTATACATATATGCAGCCATGGCAGCCAGACTCACCCTACGATTAACTCTAATTATCACTCTTAGTTTATTCCTACTAACATAGCCCAGTGACCCTGTTTATGTTAAACTTCCCAACTTTCTATCTAGTGTATTTGTACTCTATTAACCCAGGTCATGTGAACAAACTAGAGTTTTCACTGTTAGAACATATTACATGTTAAGAACAAATGGGTTTTAAATTTTAAAGCACCTTAATGAAAAATTAATTTATATCAAATTGAAAAAGAAAGAAAAATCAATTTATCATTTATTTATAAGTATTAATGAGATTTATATTGATTTTCTGAGGTATACATGAATATTTTAATTCTTCTACCATTTCCCAACCTTTAGTAAGTATTACATGGTAGTTCACAGTTTACATAGATGTGTTTCTTACGTGCTTATACCTTATTTATTGTCATTTGAACCTAGGGTTTATTGATGCCATTTGTAGGATATACGAGTTTCTTTAGTGGATCTGGTGCATCCTAATCATTCCATGACATCCATGCATTTCCTGGCATGTATCTTAAATTGTCTTTCCGATACTCATTAAAATACCAATTCTTTAAACTCTGACTCAACTCCCCTTGACTAAGTATCATCTGTTATTGGTCTTCTTTTGTTTACTTTTCTTTCAAGTTTACTCTTTTTTTCCATTGTCTTATTCCTTATTGTTTTGTTCCTCCAGATCTCACCTTACATGGGAGTGGACTGACAACAATTTTTGCAATGTCAAGCTAGAATGGTTTTGCTTCTTTTTTATATTTCAGGGCAGATTCGGGTTGAGAACTTGAGATAACATAAAAAATGGTGGGGTCGGAGTAATATTTACCCATACTGAACTCCGGTCCATTATGATCTCTAATTTATCCCATCATAGGATGGGAAGTCAGATATCTAAACCTGCTGCTCGTGGATCAGGTGGTCTTGCTCAATACATTTTCTGAGCTAGCCATTCGATGTCTAGAGCAAATATTGACACAAACCAGAGTTCTCTACCATAAGAGTATCGAAAGAAAACAAGAATAATATCAATATGGTTGGATTAGGGTAACCTTAGCAATATTGGAGTTGATCCATTACCATTATAAGTATTACCAACATAGGATGGGAGGTCAAAGTCATCCAGTTGCTGTCTGTGGATTAGGGCTATTTGTTCTTACCCTGCTTGTCCCAGCTTGCAAATATATATATATAGGTATGGCTCGGTTCGGGCATGGCCCATGATCGCCCCACCATGAATCAAGTGGTTTAAAACAATATTTGGACCGGACTGGACAGGACAGTCAGACTGGTTCCGGGGAACCAGAACAATTCCGGTTTTTAATACTCCGATTTTTCAATTTCTGAAAAAGTGTCCAAACTGTCAGCCACTCGTGCAGTAAGGAAACCTCCAAATGATGAATGCATGCCTTTTCTTTGAATATTTCTACCTTTTTAAATATGAAATGATGATTATTGTGTAATAGTAGCATAATACTTTAATGATAAGTTTAACATTTCATCTCCACGGTGTATTACAAATTAAAAGTTGGCGGCTATAAGTAGACCAATTAGTATTCATACACACGTAGTCGCTAGCCTTTGTTGACTTCAAATTTTCAATCACTATTGACGTCATAATAATCACCACTATACTCATCAAGTACATGATTCATGTCATTAAACAAGGTAGTAATCCTTATATTGTCCTTTCACTTTCTGTTTTGAGTTTTGATGTTTCCAAAATCCCTCCGTCATCGACTTAATAGCATTTTCATATGATAATTATTTAGTGGCCTTTTTGCAGACCTTCCAAAATTTTCTTGAATGTTAGCGTGATCTAGTTACGGACTTCTATTACTTCTAGCTTGAAAAAGCTCTATTCTTTACCATCATCATTTATACATGTTTATCGTAATTCTGTTTAATAAGTCGATATTGCAATATTCACTTGTTTTTTTTTCTTTTTTTTGAATATTCACTAGTTATTAATGAACTAAATAATTTGCTAAAACCAATCATATGTTATGATAGCAAATTAACAGTAAAAGACACTACAATCTTTCCAAAGGAGATATGGTATGGGATTAATATTACCTATTCTATCTCTTAGGTTGTGTTTGGCTTGAAGGAAAAAGTAGGGAAAGGAAAGGAAAGGTAGAGAAACCTTTACAAATCTTGTATAGGTTTTCATATCTTTCCCTTCCTTTCCCTACATTTTCTTTCAAACCAAACATAGCCTTAACGTTCCAAGGAAGAACGAGGGAACCGAACTCACCTTCGGCTGATAAGGCAGGGGTGGTGAAGTGAGTGAACCTGCAATTCCTTTGGGAAAGGACCGAAGGAGGGTGGAACTTGGAAGGGGGTGTTCGTTGAGTTTGGCAGAAAAGGGTGGGATTGGGGTAGTTTACATTGAGGCCTCGTTCGCTTTTTGGTAAATTACTTATCTGGATAAATGCAATTACTTCCTGGAAACACTTACCCAGGTAAGTGAATTTACCCATATTCTTTTATTTCTCAGGTAAATAAGGCAATGACTATTTTAGCCATAGAAATCCATTATTAAAAGGGGCAGTTTTGTCCCATTCAAGTGTTGACAATTTTTCCTCTATGTGGGAAAGTTATTCACCCACCTAGAGATGTGTATCATTTTTCTGGGTAACTAATATCCAGGAAAATAAACTTTCTCTGGTCCCACATAAAGCTGAAAAAAAAACATGAGATCCTTGATCAATGGGAACCAAAATCCCATTGACCAACTTTTCTCTTTGCCAAATCCAAAAAAAGAACTCTCCCTGTCGTTAATTTGGTAGTATCAGGTTGAATTAGTATGATGTGGTACCTAGCATTAGGTTAACTGGAGATACAAATAAAAACATTGGGTAGGGGCAGTCCATGCGAATAAATTGATTGGTACATTGACCTATTTTTTGAAAGACAACAACTATTAAACTATATTATAATAAAGAAATACCCACAAAGGTATTTACATCCGGTATTCCAGGAGGATAAGTATCAAAAAACAAGTGATCTTGAGGACTTATTTATTTTTTTTTTTTCGCAAGCTGAGCATAGCTGATACATTAAACTTCCTAAAAGTAGACCGAAAATGCAAAAGAAACTGCTTGGTCTTTAACAAAAGCCATTGGCATGACCAAGACAGATGATTTATTCTGTAACGCTTGAATCATTTCCAGAGAGACTGAACATATCAAAATATTAGGAGTCCAATTAGTAGCTTGTTGAGTCGCCCGCGAAATAGCAAACAATTCAACCTCGTCCACAGATGTTAAACTGCTGACCCTCCCTCCATAAGTACCAAAGCAATTTAAATTAATTGGTAAATAGATTACACCAAAACAGAAGGAATGATTTTGACAACTCCCGACATCTGTAAAAATAATGAGATCCATGGAAGTATCAATTCTTAATTGAAATTTTTTTCTGGCAAATGATGTGAGTGATTTGTATCCAACAAAGGATGAAACACCTTATTGAAAATATTATTAATACACATCAAAATTCACTACTGAGGTAAATACTGCCAATCCTTAAAACATTTTTCATTTCTAGGCTCCTAGCAAACCAAATATAATAAAAAGCATTAGCATACCAACTCAAAACCTTAGAGATTGTTTTTTAAGCAATCAACCCATATATACATGACATCCATGATCTATGAAAAATCTTTTGTAGATTAATATTGCATGGGGTAGCAAATAAAATTGCTTGAGCAAAGTCACATTCCAGAAACGGATGATTTACAGATTCTGAAAATTGATTACACAATACACATTGGCGATCTTGGGGCGCCAAAAATAAAAGCTCCTTAACAGGCAAATAGTTATGATCCAATCTCCATAGGAAAAGTTGGTACCTAGGGAGTATAGGAAGCTTCAAATCCAACGGATGCATTTTTTCTGATCAGTGGGAATATGATTAAGTAGAGCTGTAAAGGTCATTGCAATATGAGAAGGTTCAGAGTATCAATACAGGCTGATACATCGGTGCTTTTTTTGTGTTTTTTTATTTTTTTTAAATCTGGTTCAGAGGGGTCGGTTTAAGGCCCGGCTACCCTCCGAACCATGGTCTGGCCCAAAATACCTCCAGTAGGGCGTATTGGGAAGGCCATGATACGATACATATTGGCTGACTAATACGTAACGATATTTTGAACCTTGGTCTCATAAGCTGCTTTAGCTGAAAATTTTCTTGAAAAATGTGGAAGCCAGATGGCCCAGATGGCCATATCCAATTTAAAGTGTTATATTCAGGAAAAAGGGACTATTACAGAAATTTTTAATTTTCTTCATGATTTGGAAAGAGGTTAAGTAAAGTCTCATTCAAAGAATCAGAAGAAATTAAATTTGAAATAGGCTTGTCCTTAAATGCAAAAGAGCACCTGTTGTCCAATCATTCTAAAACCAGCATTGGATTTAATCCAAGGGGCTTGATCAGGCATCGATGTATTCGTAGAAACCAAAAGCCCACACTCCAACCTCAAATAACGAATTTTGGGGGCTATGGATTTCCAGAAAAAAACAAAAAAAAAAAGCTGGAATTAGTGATAGAAGAAGGAAAAACATTTTTATTTTTCAGATACTTCAATTTCCAGATTGAGCCCATAATTTATGTTTTTCATTAATAAATCTCCAAGCTTTTTCAAAATAACTAAATTAACTTATTTCAAATCCTTAAAACCTAAAGCCCCATTAATTTTTGGCTGAGTAATTTTATGCCAAGCAAACCAATGAAAAGGATTCTTATTGAATTCTGATTTTCCCCACCAGAAACTTTTTATGTTTTTTTCAATATCTTGGACTATTTTTTTTAGGAATTGAATAACACTCATAGAATGAAAAGGTATTGCTTGAAGAACTGATTGAATGAGGACACGTTTCCCAGGTTGACTGATTGCAAAAGCTTTCCATCTATTTAATTTGGATTTAATATTATCCATGACATAAGAAAGGTTGGAATGTTTATTCCTGAACCAAAATAGAGAAAGACCTAAATATCTAGTTTGGGGATTCAACATCTTTTTTTTTTTTTTGTCTTGGGTGAATATTTTTGCTGAAAAAGATACCTGACTTATTAATGTTAGCTAGTTGACCAAAACAATTATGAAACTGACACAAAATGTTTTCTAAATTATCAAGATCTTCTCTATGAGCCCTAAGGAATAACATGATGTAATTAGCAAAGAATAAATGAGATAGAAATAGAAGTATTAGAAAGTTGGATACCTTGCAAACTTCCCTCTTGCTCAGCTTTTAACAAAAGACGAGAAAAACCTTCTATTGCTATAATAAACAGATAGGGCGACAAGGGATTTTCTTGCCTCAGTCTGAAGTGACTTTCAAAAGTACCATTGATTAAAACCAATAAAGAAATAGAGGAAATACATTCTTGAATAAGTTGACAGAACTCCTCAAAAAAGACCAGAACTTGCAACATTTTTAGCCAAAAAGACTATTCAAGCTTATTGTAGGCTTTAGACATTCAAACCTGTGCCCCTTTTATGATGTTTAAGAAAGTGAAACAATTCATGGATGATAATAGAATTATCCAACATCTACTGTCTGGGCATAAAAGCACCTTGGGTTAGAGAAATACATTTATTTAGGACTGTACAAAGCCTATTGGCCAAAATTTTTGCAAGAATTTTATACAATCTACTTTCTTGGGCAGAAGGCAAATGAAAATATGATTTAATCTTTGGAGAAGATGTTTGTTTTTAAAAAATTCTTGAACAAACAGAACACTTTCCTGGCCTATCATGTCCCAACATTCCTTATAGATTAAGGCTGGCATATTATGGTCTAGGTGATTTGAGACTTTCTATGCTAAAAATAGCATTTTTAACCTCTTCCTTAGAAGGAATAGCTGATAAAAAAGATTGTCATCTTTCCTAACAATAGGATTTATAAGATCAGATAACAAATTTAAGCCCTTGAACCTTGAGAGGTAAACAACTTGGAGAAATATGAGATGAGAACATTTTCTATACCTTTATGGTCTAACAACACCCAATCCCCTTGATCATTTTTTACACCTTCTATAGAATTCCCTTTTTGCCTAAACCAGGTGCTTTTGTGAAAATAATTGGTATTTTTATCTTCTAAGCATAACCATAATTGTCTTGATTTTTGTCTCCAAAAACTTTCAACCTAGGTGGAAAGTTCTTTAAATTGCTTGTAAAGATCATTATTCCTGTTATTATCCCTGGGATAAGATTGTTCTACAATAACAATTTGTCTCTCTAGACTCCTTAACTTCTCATTTGGATCTATAAAATTAGATTTCCTCCATTTAATTAGATAGGATTTTACACGGTCAATTTTTATAGTTAATCTATAAGCTGTATACCCAATAATCTGAAGGCTCCAACCATTAGCAATAACTTCCTTGCAAGAACTATTGGACAACCACATTTCGTAAAACCTAAAAGGTTTGGGATATTGATGCCTCTTGAGACTTATATAAAAACAAAAGGGTGGTGATCCGAGCCCCAACAAGTTCCTAGAAAGAGAGATGCATTGGGAAAAATGAGCTATCCAATCAAGAGAAACTAAAACCTTATCTAAAGTTCTACGCAAGCAAGGTCCAAAAGTTCTTTTATTGGACCAAGATTATCCACCCCATATAATACCTATTTCCAAGGGATTCAAATAAAAAACAGATTGCAATACTACCGAGAAGTGGTGTTGGACGAGAAAGAAGAAGTGTTTGGATCCATGGTTTCAACTGAAACTACTTCATTAAAATCACCTATTAAAACAAAAAGGTAAATTGATTTCCTCCAACCAAGTTTTTAAATTAGCCCAAAATTGATTTCGATGAGCTTTAGTTGATGGTCCATACAAAAAGCCAATAAGCCATTAATCTCATACCTCGTACTAAGTACCATATACAAAGAAACTTGTATGCCAAATTTACAAAAAAATTGCTAGTCCTCTAGCATGACTTTCAGGAGGAATCAAAATACCTAAGATGATTAGCTAATTGATTAACTGTCATTGGGGATTTTGGTTTCACTAATAAATATAAAATTAGGACTAAATGGTTGAACCGAATCCTTAGGACCTTGAATTGCCTTGAAGCAAGCAGCCCCTCGTCAATTCCAACTTAGGATTATCATTGATTTGAAGCATATTATTTTCTACCCTGGATGAAGTGGTAAATTGCTTTCAGATTTGCTTCTCATAGAAGCTCCTTACACGGACCTCATAACATGTATTAACCGCACATTGGGAACATTCCCATGTTTGTATATTATTATTCAGGGAAATGTTCTCAATATATGATGGAATGTGGCAGTGAGGTTGATGAGAGCTTGAGAGGAGTGCTTTGTGAGGAACAAATCCCAATTCTAATAAGTTATAGGGAGATGTTCCCAATCATATTGTGAGGGAATCGGGATTTGCTCCTCACACCGACCTCACAGAACATCCCACCGTGCATAGAGAATATCAAGATTTTTGTGCGATTGAGACATAAAGCTGGCCTCGATGATCGGTGTTCCCATTGGAACAGGATCTGCACCTCAGACAGGGGCGCCTCACAGGCACATCCACAGTGCATTGGGAACATCTCCCGTGAATAATAACTTATAAGTACGAAAAATGTTACCAATGCATGGTAGGATGTACATGTGAGGTCGGTGTGAGATGCCCACTGTGAGGAGCAGATCTGGTATCGTTCCCATTAAGCTTCCATCTGCCAAACGCTGATTATTGACTCCTTTCCTCTCACTTCCTTTCACTCCCTTGCCGAGTTTTCAACCTGAATACTGTCGCTATTTCGAATTGGAATCTGCTCCTTCGAGATCGCTCCTCACTCCAACGTCACAGCCACATCTCACCGTTTATTGTGAACATCTCTAAGGAGCATGATGTCAGGTTGGTGTGAGGAGCAGATCCGGACTCCGCTGTTTCATCTTTAAAACAGTAAGCAAGAGGGAGAAAGACAGAGAGAGGCCATGGCCAAAGTATCGAAGAAGGTCGAAAATGGAGAAAAAGCTGAGCAAAATCCAGAAACCCAAGAACGGAAAAGACTTAAAAAGCTTGCATTATCTGAAAAGTTGCTCTCCCAGACTCCTTCTAGAGCCATTTCTTCTCTCAGCCCCTCGAAGACTGTTCTCAAGCACCATGGCAAAGACATACTGAAGAAATCTCAGAGGAAGAACAGATTCCTTTTCTCTTTCCCTGGCCTTCTCGCTCCCATTACAGGCGGAAGAATTGGCGAGCTGAAGGATTTGGGAACTAAGAATCCAATACTCTACCTCGATTTTCCTCAGGTTTGATATTACTTCTCCTGAAACACTACTTTTACTTCTGAATTCTGGGGTTTCTGAAGGGTAGATTTCGGTTTTATATGTTGACCTTGTGAGTTTTAGGGCCAGATGAAGTTGTTTGGTACGATTGTTTACCCGAAGAACAGATATTTGACCTTACAGTTCTCGAAAGGAGGGAAGAATGTCATTTGCGAGGATTATTTTGATAACATGGTTAGTTACTCTTTTTGTTTATTCCTTCATTCATTTTGCTGTCGAATGATTTACATAACATAATCTTCTTACTGTAACCGAGTCTAATTCATTGTTAGGATTATGTTTGATTCTTAAACCTCTCCACAGTAAATGAATCTTTTTTTTTTTTTTTTGAGAAAGGGTAAAGTATAATTATATTAATCAACGGTCCTTTGTACAAAGAGAAACTGTACAACACATAAGCAAAAGGACCTCAAAAAAAGGCCACCTTCAAAAAATTACAGTCAGATGTATCTTCTTTGAAACCTGTATGTATAGACAACCAGCTCCTAAGCAGCTCAATAGTCTTGTTAATGACCTCAGCTTCAGTAGAAGCTTTGTGATCAAAAGTCAAGCTGTTCCTTTCAGTCCATACTGCCCACAAAATGAATCATAATTCAGTATGAAGAATGTATTGGTCCTCAAACGGCCAACTGAAAATTCCCATGGATTAAGTGTTATCTAAATGGATTAGTAACACTGGTAGAAATCACTCCAAGTATATGACTCAAAAAACCTATTATAACCCTAGAATTGGGTAATTGGCAAGACAAGGAAAATATTTTCACCATTGAGAATTACATAGTTGTCAAGGCATCCAAGTGATTCTAGGTTTTTGAGGACTGATCCAATTCCAAACCTCCTAAAACCAACCCTCTTGAAGACAGCTTCAAAAACTTTCCCACCACTTTGATCCTAAATAGAACCTCCAACCCCCCAATAACCTGCAAACCTACTCCAAATTTGTAAACTCCAAATGTCTTTTTCCCTCTTTCCTCCCAATTCCTGAATATTTTTCTTGCATTATCCATGGCTATTGAGAGCTCCTAAATGGTGATCTAATTGAAGTGCTTGAGGAATTTCTGAAGGGATGAGAGATCCATCGTATGGACGCCCAAATCTTGCGGAATAAGGTGGGCGAATTTCAAAAGTTTTTCTCTCCCTTTCAACTGGGAATCGCATTCCCTATTTAAAAAATCATATTTTCAAARATCAATCTTGAACCATAAACTGAACCAGATCTGAACCAAAAATAGTAGGAGAGAGGTATACCTGATACAGAGAAATATTATCTCTCAATGGAGGTGTTCACGCCCAAGGAAGGATCCAAAGACTGCTCCCACTGAAGATGACGCAGTGCAGGATGGAGCAGAATCAGCAGCGTTCTCCAAGAACCTAATTCTTCATAAGAATAGCTGGATGGCATGTGAGCACTATTTCCAATCAGTCATTTCACAAAGGGCTGCTATCAAGATCGAATCTTGATTTTTCCTACAAAGTTGGAGATCAAACTAGAGGTCTGGTGGCGGCAGGAAGGAGGCGGCAAGAAAGAATTTCGCAGAGATTGCATAAATCTTTCTTCAGTGATTTCAACTCTGAAGACTAGAGGACTTGATGATGTGTTTTCTGAAGGGATGAGAGATCCATCCCATGGACGCCCAAAGATTGCGGAATAAGGGGCGAATTTCAAAAATTTTTTCTCTCCCTTCAACTGGGAATCATATTCCCTATTTAGAAAATCATATTTTCAAGGATCATTCTTGAACCTTAAACTGAGTCAGATCTGAACCAAAATGAACAGGAGAGAATYATACCTGATACGGAGAAGTARTATCTCCCAACGAADGTGTTCACGCCCAAGGAAGGATCCAAAGACTGCTCCCACTGAAAATGGCGCAGTGCAGGTGGAGCAGAATCAGCAGTGTTCTTCTCCAAGAACTCTGTCCTTCGCAAGRATMAGCAAGATGGTACGTGAGCACAACTTCCTTTCAATCATTTCCCAAAGAATTGATGTCAAATTCCAATCTTGACTTCTCCCACAACTGGAGATCGAACTGGCAAAAGGGCAGCAAGAACAGGGAGGCGGCAAAAGGGTATTCGCAGGGAGCAGAATTCTCTTCTTGATTTTGGTACTAGAGAAAATCTGTTGTCTGTGTATATCTAAAAGCTGCCGCCCC